CAGAAGTCAGACCAATACAACGATGATGACAATGAGTAGAATAATCCCGAAAATGAGAATAAGTAGGCATGTCTGCAACAAAGCAAACATGTAAAACTTAGATTTAGCTGCTAAAAATACGAAATCACACAATTATAATATTTGATAATTGAGGAGAGTTTTTCTTGAGTGTGTACCAAAGATGAGTTTGCTTGTTGAGTTTTAGATGCTTTTCTGAGTTGAGCAGTGCCTTGTGCAGTTGCAGCATGTGAGTTATCAATGTTAGAGCTGATGTCATCTGCCAAATAGACATTATAATTTTTATGAGATTGTAAATTCCTGAGGTAACGGAAACAAGATATTTACAATTTCTGATTGTTGGGGTTACTTACCGATCATAATTCCTTGATCATTCACTAGAACAGCTAGATCTTTGAAGATTTCATTCACTTCACCAATCTGCTCTTGAATTTCTCTTATTCCTTGCTCTCTTTCCTCGATGATTGCTTCATTGAATGTTATTTCGTTATCCAAAAACACTACTTCTTGCCTGTAATGAGAATAATAAGAAGTTTCTAGCATGTCACTGCAAAACGCCCAAACAGAGAAGATACATCTACTGGGGTTTCATGGCCATATCGAACTTCAAAAAATCTACTAACCCAATTCTAACCTTACACCCATTTGAGTTCTGTTTACGCTAAACAAATGATCCAAGTGAATAAGTAAAATAATATGATATAGCATACAATCAAATTTTACTCCTCACCTTCTTGATTGTAAAAGTTGAGTTTGCTGCTGGGAGGTCCTTAAAGATTCAACATCCAATTCCTGTGCGTTATAGCTGCATGGAGTTGCAAAACAATGAAGCATGTGTAAAGTGAGACTCGCATTCCACAAACTATCAGTAACGATTTTAAGTTCATAGTTTTTCTGAACATAAGAAAAGTTTTTTCTACATTACTCAATTACATGAGAGCACATACATAATAAGAGGTATTGAAACATAACTAGTCATGATTACCTGGTAGGTATATTTTTTGTGACCACAGGAGTATATGTACTTTCTCTTTCAGCTGCAAGTCTCTGAGCTTTTTGAAACTCTTTTAGAACTGATTGGAAATCTTTTGCCAGTTTAGCATCCGCAATCTTCTTAATTGGCTGC